AAAAGGTACAATACAACCATCCCATCCCTATTCCAACCCCCCATCTCACAACCTCAAATCGGTCTACTGATTTTCTATCCACATGTCAACACACTATGCCTGGGTCAATTTGTCACACGTCTACAATCTCCTACCTCAGATTCCCTCCTGATCACCCACAACAGGCCTTCCTACAACGAGGAACAGATCGAGTGCATGTGTGGTGTTACCCAAGACGATTGGTGGAGATCTCAGTGAAGTTCAAAGCAAGTTCCTTGGTCCATTGTTAGGTCGGGTGGGCAGCTGCTCAACACCAATAACAGAAGAAGGAATGATCTCTTCTGAAAAATCCCTGATAAAGATTCGAGCTTTCCTTGTTACCAAAACCTGTAATGATCCTCAACTGAGGGGATGCATATTTGGTCTTGACTCAAACAAGGCCACTATTTCATCAGCTTTCTCTCGGGCACAAATCAATCTCTCTCCCATCTGGAACTACGATCCCAGCCTCTTTTTCAATATCCCCCAAACATCGTTTACACCAACCCTCACCAGCACGCCAGAAGAGGATGATTCTTTTCGGTCTACTCTCAAAAACTGTGTAACCACCTTGAAAGACCACCAATACACAGCTCTAAATTTCCTCAAGAGAAACGAGTCTACCCAACAAAACACAATTGAAGACTTGTGGAACCACCCCATCAATAGTTGGATACGACGATGTAGTAACCCTTCTGAACTACGACTTGACGAAACAGACCAATTTACTAGCCGAGGATCCATACTTGCTGATGACATGGGCTTAGGAAAAACGTTAACCAGCCTTGCGTTAGTTCTGGCAACATCTCATTTGGCAAACCGATTCCAGATGAGCGGTTCCGACAACCATCTAGTTCGATCTTCAGCCACTCTGATTATTTGTCCGTTAGCAACCTTGTCAAACTGGGAAAATGAGATCAAGATTCACTTTGACGGGGGAGCCTTACCTTACTGTATCTTTCATGGAAGAGACCGAGGAAGAATTGACAGAGGATCGCTATTGTCATCGCTTGTTGTTTTGACAACCTACGAGATGGTTGGAACATCTGGAAACCCACTGCATACCAATCAAATAACCATTGAATCCCTGGATATCTGTTGGTTCAGAATTGTATTGGGATGAGGCTCAGTAAGTAACAATAACCTGGTGCATGTATTGAGTTATCAGTTATTATCAAGTCTGACGTTACAGGTCATGTAGTATGATTCGTAACCCAACAGCCAACAGGACTTTGAACATTCAAAAGCTGAAGTCAAGATTTA